GTTGAACATTGTGATTAAAGAATGCAGAGAAAGCCAGTTTGGCTGTATTGCAGAGTGAGGGGAAGGAACACCATGCAATTAGGCTGGTTTCTCTGAAATCTTTAGTTTTAGGAGGTTTTAGGGCACTGGGAGGTTAAGTAACTTGCTTAGAGTCACACAGCCACTGTATATCAGAGGTAAGACTTGAAACCAGATCTTTCTTGCTCTGAGGACAGCTCTTTGTGTATGCTATTTCTAGTACATTAGCGAAGGGCAAAACAAAGTACTGTGTAAAGTCCAAAGGGGAAGATGATGATTAACTAGGGGAATCAATGAGTACTTCATGTAGGAAGAAATATTTGTGTTCATGTTGGGTTTAAAAGAATGGTTCCTTACATTCAATTAGAGGATTATAGGATTTAATGCTGCAAGGTAGACTCTAGTTCAGTCTCCAAATTTTATAGATGAAGCAATTGAGGCCCACAGATTTTAAATAATTTGCCTATGGTCACATTGGTAGTGAATAGCAGAGTCAGGATTTGAAGTCAGGTCTTGTGACTTCCTTCTCACTGCCATTCCTCCTTTTTTATCCCTTATTTTTTTCCCTCTTAAGCTATTAAATTTCCTTCCTTGATGCTCTCTTTGTCTTAAGACCTTATTATATGCCATTCAACTTTTACATCACTATCAAATTAATTTTTCTGGGGTGCCTGCCATTTTCCTGATTACCTGTCAATTCCTTGCTAAAACAAAACAAAATAAAACAAAACTTTTAGTTGTTCCCTACTTCCCATGGCCTTAGCCACCATTTAGTATTCTCTACAACTATCCTAGCCTTATTAATTCAATTCCATTAAATAAGAAAACCCCTTTATTTATATGAAAGGTAGTAAGTCTGAAAGAAATACAGAGATAAATATCATCATTCCTTGCACTGAAAGGGTTTGTAATTTAGTAGATGTGGTCAGATATCTACCCAAGTAACTTATCCATAAGAGTGAAATGAATGCATAAGAAAGGTCCAGCAAGTTGCTTTAAGAGGTCACAGGAATGGGGCACTAGGGAAGAATTCATAGGCCCACAGAAGATTAGAGTCATCATATTTCATACAGATCATATAGTCAAACCTCCTCATTTTGCAAATGAATATTCTTCGAGTATCTGAGCTAGGCTTTGAAAGATGAATAGAATGTCAACAGGTAGAGATGGAGGTATGTTGTCTAGAACATTCACAGAACATTGAGTGGCTTGCAAAATAGGCATAGAACTTTGAGAATATGGAGAATAAAAAAGGAATAAAATTAATTTGCCAGGAGTATAGAGTGGGTGATGGAGGTATTTTGATAAGAAACTGTGAAGGTAGGTTGTGAAAGACTGTAACTGAAGACCAAGAAGTCCAGATTTTCTTCCAAAAGCCCTCTTAATGGATTTAGAGATGGCAGTGACTTTAGAGCACAATTATTCCAATTCTCTCAATTTATAGGAAAGGAAATTGACTATCAAGTAGTTGACTTGTCCAAGGTCACATAGGTAGTAAGTCAGGATTTGAACCCAGTTCCTTTGACTTAAAATTAATTTCTCTTTTCATTATACCGTTTATCAAAAGAAATGTCCAAGTTATTGATTAAAATAGCAAATTATGGATTATATTATATATTGAGTATTTTAAATAAAAGATACCAAAATCCTTTAGATGTAACTTCAGTTAACTTTTGAGTCAAGCTGAGTTAATTCAACTTGTAAAATGTTTTGTGTTCTCCTTGTTTGCCCCACCTTCATGATTGGCCAAAAACGCTCTCAATAATTCTGATGTAGCCTCATTTTCTCCTTGAACTTAACACATAACTCAAAACCCATTCTAACCCCACTTACTCCATAGCTTCCCAATTCCTATAGATCCTCCTTTATTTTCCTCAGATGGCACCTATTTGTTGGTAGGAAATATCATCCATTAGCAATCCACTGGAAATGAAACCCTGTCTTGGCAATTGGAAAGAGTTAGATTGCAAGGAAAGATCTGTCAGTCTGAGTGGGAAGCTATGGGAAATTTTTGAATAGGAGAATGATGTGATTAGACTTGTACATTTGGCAGCTTTATGTGGCAGTAGTGCACAGGTTAGATTTGAAGAAGGACAGACAGGACTAAGGCCAGTTAGGAAGATATTACAGTAGTCTCAGGGAAATTAGGTAGGAGTCTGAAATAAATGAATTTAATGAATTGAAACTCATGTGAGTGATAGGCATTTCTTATTTGTGTCTCTTTAAGATAGTCTAGGATGAGATTCAGCACCAGTGGTAAATACAGCTTCTCAGG